TGATTGAGTGAAGTCTGCTAATGGTGTAGACAATGATTGAGTGAAGTCTGCTAATTGTGTAGACAGTGCCTAAGTATGTTTTCAATTACTATAGACAGTCTCAGAGTGAAGACTTCTATTGCTGTAGACAGTGGATTCACTGTGTCTTCTAATGCTGTAGACAGTGACTGAATGAAATCTGCTAATGTTGTAGATAGTGACTGAGTGAATACTTCTATTGCTGTAGAAAGTGACTGACTACATCTTCTAATGCTGTAGACAATGATTGAGTGAAGTCTGCTAATGCTGTAGACAGTGCCTAAGTATGTTTTCAATCACTATAGACAGTGTCTGAGTGAAGACTTCTATTGCTGTAGACAGTGGATTAACTGTGTCTTCTAATGCTGTAGACAGTGACTGAATGAAATCTGCTAATGTTGTAGACAGCGTCTGAGTGACGATTTCTACTGTCGTAGACAGTAACTGACTATGTCTTCTACTGCCGTAGACAGTAACTGACTATGTCTTCTACTGCCGTAGACACTAACTGACTGTCTTCTACTGCCGTAGACAGTAACTGACTGTCTTCTACTACCGTAGACAGTAACTGACTACGTCTTCTACTGTTATAGACAGTGACTGACTGTCTTCTACTTCTGTAGACAGTGACTGACTATGTCTTCAATTGCTGTAGACTGTGTGTTTTTCTTCAAATAGTAATTAGCTGTAGCAACGAGGGTATGACGACAACCATTCTTCAAGGATGTTATCACATGTAGTTTTATTACTTGATGACATCTTATGAAATTAAAAAGAAATTTTTGAAGAATAAATTTTGTAAGTGTACAATGATTTGTACATCAGTGTTAATCATTAAGCATAAATTATGGAACACAGAAAGTGTGCATATAAATTAATCCAAAACGGGCTTTATAAAACCATATGAAATAAAGTGCACAGTAAACAGAGAATATCTAGAGTATAAATAAAACAAAAATTAGCACTAAAAGCAAACACAACAAAATACACCTGGGCTACAGATGCCACCAGGCTGGTGTGGACTGACTGCAGCTATGTAACCTAACCCAAGGATGGTTCCATCATTAGGAAAACCCTGGTGAGTAAACAGATGACTGAGACAAAATCTAGGTGAGCTATGGCGAGCAAAGTTCTGGAAGGAAACATCAGTTGTCAAAATACAAAACTTAACAGAGAGAAGTTAGATGAAAAATTGTAAACAAAAAATCTATATATTTAGAAGAAAAAAAACAACAACATGTACTAGAATAATACCGAAAAATTTTATACTCTTGCAATATAAAATTGTCCACCTATGATCAAATTTAAACACATTTGTCCACACACACATACAGAGAATTTTAAAATTAATCAAGAAGACCCACTCACTTATAAAATGATTCTTGAAAATACTTACTACTTGCAAAAGAAATTATAAAATTAAAACTAGCAATACAAATAAAACAAACTATAGCTGTGCTACATGTTATGGTACTAATTAAGGGCTGTCAATTCTAACAATAAACGTTAAAAAAAAAGGATTTTAACTGACAAACACTTCCTAAAGTAAACAAATTTAAACAAAAAGTGTAACGTCCAACACTTCACAATCATCACACACAATATCCAACCTTCATTCACACCTGAAATGGTAAGTTTTAGATATAATCAAGCCTTCCAATTATAGGACCCACTTGGTACCTCATAATAAAGTACTTTACCTCAAGGAGGTCACGAACGTTCCATTCGTAGTCGGCCATGTTATAGTGCACTTCACCATGGACAACGGGTGTTGATTCTGTGTGTACCATGACTTCTTGAATGACAAAACCCATTCCTCTAAAACCACCTTGTTTGTCGTTTGAGTTCCACTCCGTCTCTAAATAGACCTTGTTCACTCGATCAATCAAGGAAATCTAGTATCAAAACCAAAACCTTTTACATTATCCTCTGTTAAGTTCAAATGAAGAATGCAACAGAGCAAAGTTTAAGGTGAAACACTGTTCAACTGGTGGTGTAAAACAGTTATGTGGAATAAGGGAAACTCTTACAATAATATGAATATTATATTCTGCATACAGCAGCTTGTTTCTGGACACATGAATAAATATTAGTTGGATTTGTAAGAATTGACATCTCTAGTGACTCACATCATGGCCCTAGTTCCCCTGTGATCTATGACAGACCTACACAATGGCCCTAGTTCCCCTGTGATCTATGACAGACCTACACAATGGCCCTAGTTCCCCTGTGATCTATGACAGACCTACACAATGGCCCTAGTTCCCTTGTGATCTATGAGAGACTTACACCATGGCCCTAGTTCCCTTGAGATCTACGAGAGACTTACACCATGGCCCTAGTTCCCTTGTGATCTACGAGAGACTTACACCATGGCCCAAGTTCCCTTGTGATCTACGAGAGACTTACACCATGGCCCTAGTTACCTTGTGATCTACGAGAGACTTACACCATGGCCCTAGTTCACTTGTGATCTATGAGAGACTTACACCATGGCCCTAGTTACCTTGTGATCTAAGAGAGACTTACACCATGGCCCTAGTTACCTTGTGATCTACGAGAGACTTACACCATGGCCGTAGTTCCCTTGTGATGTATGAGAGACTTACACCATGGCCCTAGTTACCTTGTGATCTATGACAGACCTACACCATGGCCCTAGTTCCCCTGTAATATATGAAAGACTCACACTGTGCCCTTAGTTCCCCTGTGATCTATGAGAGACTTACACCATGGCCCTAGTTCCCCTGTGATCTATGACAGACCTACACAATGGCTCTAGTTCCCCTGTGATCTATGACAGACCTACACAGTGGCCCTAGTTCCCCTGTGATCTATGACAGACCTACACAGTGGTCCTAATTCCCTTGTGATCTATGAGAGACTTACATCATGGTCCTAGTCCCCTTGTGATCTATGAGAGACTTACACCATGGCCCTAGTTCCCCTGTAATCTATGACAGACCTACACCATGGCCCTAGTTCCCCTGTAATATATGAAAGACCTACACAATGGCCATAGTTCCCTTGTGAGAGACTTACACCATGGCCATAGTTCCCCCTGTGATATATGAAAAACTTGCACCATGGCCCTAGTTCCTCTGTTATCTGTGACAGACTCACACTACAACCCTAGTCCCCTTCTTATCTACGATTTCTAGCAAGTAACACCTTTTGTTAACAGTTGTTTGAGAACAATTCAGTACAGAGATCTGAGTGATTAAGTAATAAGCTAGCTCCTGGTAGTTGTGTGTCAATACACAACAACAAGGTAATTATAATTAAATAACCCTTAACAAAAATTACTTTGGGAACCAGTGGAATACTCCAAATCTGTTTTAAGTTTCCCTCAACAGAAAGCAGCTTTAGTAGATGTTATTTTGTAGTAACTAGGACATTTTACCTTTCAAAAATTGATACAATTACATGAAGAACAGGATTAAACAGGTCCGAATTGTAAGTCAATAATAAGCTGGGGCTTTAGTGGATCATGTAATCGTGTTTCTTCCTCAAAGCAGGATTTCTCATAAGGAAACAGTTCATTTAGAAAACATCAACACATTTTTCAGATTCACTTAATACTTCCTAATTGAAAAACTTTGAGATTTTCTTTCCTTTCTTCGAAAACATCAGACCTACATTTTAAAGAAATATAAGTAATACTCAATGTAAGTGTACTTTTTCCTTTGATAAGTACGAAAAAAAAGATAACTGACCTATACAACCATGCAGGTAATTCAAATTTAGTTAGACTTAATATACAAATTCTCACCAGATAGTTTATTGTGCCTTTCAGGTCACTTCCACCCATGTTTTGATAAAACAGGTGGTCAGCCACAAGCAAGAGAGAGCATCTGGTGTGAACAGGTTCCCAACGATACTGACTAGAAGTCTGTCTCTTCACAAGTGTGATGTCTTGTTTCTCCTTTTTGACTGTTAAATTACCATTTTCCCTTACATAACCACAAAACCTGAAACAAAATTGATAACCAATCAGATTAAAAGATGACATCTTCCAATCTACTTACTAATTCAAATAGTTTTGTTTGTTTGATTTCGCATAAAGTTACGACAAATGCTATATATCCTAGTTGTCTCTAATTTCTAAGTGATAGGTAAGAGGGAAAGTAGCTAGTTAACACCACAAACTGTCAACTCTAGGGGTATTCTTGTCAGAACCTAATAGTGAGATTTGATTGTCACTCTTATAACTCACTACTGGACCCAAAGTACAGCATTTTTTCTCTCTCTCTCACCCTTTCTTTCTTTATGGTAACAAGATGTGGATCACTGAATTTCAGCTCTCCAGTCTGGAATGGTAACCAATGGGCCTCACTCTACTCAAACAAAATGAGGAAACCTTAAAAGTACTACTTAAACTCATCTAATGTTGCTTACTTCTGTAGGATCTCTTTAATGAGAAACAAGAAAAAATATGATACACTAAACCAGACAACATGATTAGCACTCTTGCCACAGGCTCAGTCAAATCAGCTGAGTTTGTGACCCCAATTTGACCTTTATAATTTCCATATTATACCTCCTAATATATTTTGTGTGTTCACAAAATTTTGCAAAATTTCAGTAAACAATAAGTAAATATTGCAGACAAAAAAAAATCAGATTTTAATGAAGTATTTTTACTAAAATTTCTCTGTGAATATATATATCTGGAGTCAAAGTGATTTTCATGTTAAAATTAAGCGTACTTTTCTTTATCTGAAAATTGTCTAATTTCATTTGCATAACTTAAAAGACCTAAATTTCAAATGTTTTCTTTCAGTAAAACTTTATATTTTATATTATTTTCTCTATCTTAACTCCATACCACCATAAAAAATATGAAATAAATCTAAATTATCCTTTCTATCTTTCTAAATCTGTTTAAACTTAAATGTTATTGTTTTACTGTCCGTTAAACCATGCCAAACTGATAATCCTGCTACACAAGTTGTAAATCACTTGGTGAATGAACAGCTCAAGTTACCCTATCGAATTACATAATGCTCACAAGCATACTTTGTAAAAATGTATTATCTACGTTTCTTTATTTTACCTAGTTTAACCTTATCTAACCTAAAAAGTTTCTAATTATTACATTATAGTTACTTTCATAATAATAAATAAAGAATACACATGAAAAACAAGAAATATCATACTTAGCTGAGTCTTTGTTGTCAATGAAACTTAACCCTACTTTTTTACACTACTGCATTAAATAAATCTTTTATTTAATTCAATAATGCACCAAAGAACACAGAATAATAACACCCAAAAACCAGACAATGTCCTGTAACTATCACAGTTTTACTGGCTTTCTAACTATGCAACATTAGCTGTTAAAATTCTGCTAAGCTCATCAATGCATTTCTCGTGGGAATAAAATTTGACCTGGAAGCAAAATAGACAATTCCCTGTACAGAAAACAACATAATGTAATAGAGTAATCAAACAAGATTGAAGGCAATAAAAATTATGCTTTGCCTGAGTGATGGCAATATTATAATGAGTAATTTATATCAAATTTCATACTTCTCGGAGGGGTGGTAAATAAATTAGAGAAGAGAGAATACATAGATAGCAAATGTCATAATTCTCATACTAGGAGAAATTAAAGATTTTTTAAATATTGCCTTATAAAATTAAGAACTTAAAACTTATATAATATTCACATTTGGACTATTAGCTATATTTTAATGCCAAGTTTATTTGTATACCATGATAATAAAGTACTTTAATTAAATGTTGAATGTAATTTAGTAAAACCTCCTGAGATGTGCAGAAAAGAATGCCCATATGGAAAAAAAAAAAAAGAGTTAAATAACAGAATGAACAAGAAAATGTGTAGGAAAATATTAAATATCTATCACACAACATTAATGTACCAAGTAACTATTTACGGTTTAAAAACGTACCGTAAGTGTCCATCTTGACTTTCTGGGGTCTCTTTGATGTCTGATGTTCGATAAGCAATCATCGTTGTATTATCATGGTCTGGCAGATGTCGCCACGCTGGTTCTACCACATAAGTCTCATCCGGTGTCTGTATTGAAGCTGTCATCATTCCCTCATCAATATGTACAGTAACATCAGAGTTCTTTTCCCCTGATTAAAAAAACGTTAGAACCATAAACATGAAAACTGTATGAATTACTTTAGAAACAGATAATTCTTCTATTAATAACAACAGATAAGTTATTTTTCTTTTATTCAGGTTCACTAAATATATGTGAAGAAAAAAAAATACTTAATTATTTGTGTACATTGTTTAGCAAAATCAGTAAAACTTCTAACACGTACTTTGAATTTTATTGTATGCAGTATAAATATATATTCATAATTTATGTATACATTTTATGTTAAAACCTACATCACAGAGAAATATAATGTTTAATGCATGATAGTTATGCATTTAATAATTATAATGTAACTACTAGTACAGGATGACCAGTCTTGATAGCATGAAAGTATACTTACTATAACTTTTAATATAGTACGTGTACCTTAATTAAACATTTGGCAAACTTTTAATAAATGTTACAATTCTATTGTACACAAAAAATTAGAGTTTTTACTCAAGTAACTTTATAAAAGCTTTGTCTGTAAATTTAGAGAGCCTTTACTGACTTAGTTCGAGTGATTTTCATTTTAAGAACAAAAATACTTTTTTCACCTTACAGTTTTCAAACATTCTTTACATAACTTCAAGAAGTTTTCTTATTAAAACTTTATATCTGATCTGTTATTTTCTCTATTGTAACACTAACTGTATATGGCCTCAATCAACTGTGACTACCATGTAGAAAATAAATCCCCTATTTTTCTTTCTAGAATGTTATAACAGCATCATCCACTATTTAATCTTACAGCCAATGTGAATCAAGTTCTTTTAACTTTATTTCATTACAGTTGCATTTACAAACATGCCAAACAATGCATGCACTTTGTCTCAGTAAATCAAGAAGTTATGTTAACATTTTACCTTGGCGATATCTATGGTATAAATGTTTAATTCGTGGGAAAGATAGATGATCATACAGGGGAAGAAAGAAAACTTAAAATGGGTAATTTGGAGCAAAGAATTTTTACATAATACAGGAAAGACTGATAATTTATTTAAATATTTCGTTTTGAAATTAAAACTTGTATAATATTAGAATTTGATTTCTAAACTGTTTTAATGCCAAGTTTGAGATACATTGATCATAGTTAACTGTAAATAGTCATCATATGTGCACTTTGATGCTACCAATATCAAATGTTTAAAATAACTATTTAGTAAAACAAAAGGTTTCCATGTTTAATGAACAGAAGTTAAGTACTAATAAATATACACTGCATATATTTAAAATACTCTTTACAAAATCCTACCAAGAACTATTTATTATATGCACAATCATAATCAAATGGAAAATAAAATTAAAATAAGGATAGCCATTAGTTATTATCATTTAATCCCTGGAGAAAAGCTTTCTACACATTATATAACATTATACAAGATCAACTCATAATAAAAATTACTGAATCCAATCAGCAGCACCCTATCACCATTCACACTTATAACAGTTTAAAGTGAAGGGTACATTTTATGATATTACCAACCCTAAGATTTATTTTACGTTAAACAAAACTTGTAATCACATAAAGAAAATATAACAAAATTACCAAAAACATGCCCTTCAAAAAAGTTTTCTTTCTGAATAGATACAGGTTTTTTCAGTCCAATACTGTTGATGGTGTAAGCTTTAAAGAAAGGGGAGAGAAGTCCATTGCTAGGATTGAGGATCAATCTAAAATCCCTGTGTAGAAAATAAAACTTGTGGTTACAAAAACTAAACTGATTTCATGGAAAACTACTATACTATCTGAGGTCTCTATGATGTCTGGTGTTAAATAGGCAACCATCATGGTCCTGCAGGTGCTGCCACCTTCAAAATTTTAAAAGGTTAAATTAATATTTTTTCAGCTATATCAAATCAATCTTGGAGATTTAAAAATACTTATATCAGAAACTTTCACTGCAGAATGGATCTTTTCTACTATAATGTTAAAATGTATAAAATAGTTGATCTACATACACACACACACACACATAAATCTATATGCTAATTAAATGAACTGATGTATGGTTACAGAAAATTTCCATAACTTTTAAATATATATAATTTAACATGAAATTTTTTTTTCTGTAATGAAAAGAACATCTCAAGAGACTATAAAAAAACTCCTTCATCTGTGATTAGTTCCGGTATTCTATCTGTATCCTGACAATATTCTGTCTTAAATGAGAATACCAAAACTGTACACAGTATACTATCTGTTTCCTGTCAATATTCTGTTATAGATGAGAATACCAAAACTGTACATGGTATTCTATCTGTATCCTGACAATATTCTGTTGTAGATGAGACCAAAACTGTACACAGTATACTATCTGTATCCTGTCAATATTCTGTTGTTGATGAGACCAAAACTGTACATGGTATTCTACCTGAATAGAAATGTTTATAGAGAGAAACGTACACTTTATAAACTGTTTTTATCACTGTTTGGTAAATAAAATGGTGTGAACAGTAATGTATGGTTCCTGAAAATAATGACTAGGAGGAACTGGAAGTTTAAATGACTTTGTGTACAGTTTTGGTATTCTCATCTACAACAGAATATTGACAGGATACAGATAGAATACCTATGTACAGTTTTGGATTCTCATCTACAACAGAATATTGACAGGATACAGATAGTATACTGTGTACAGTTTTGGTCTCATCTACAACAGAATATTGACAGGATACAGATAGAATACCGTGTACAGTTTTGGTCTCATCTACAACAGAATATTGACAGGATACAGATAGAATACCGTGTACAGTTTTGGTCTCATCTACAACAGAATATTGACAGGATACAGATAGAATACCATGTACAGTTTTGGTCTCATCTACAACAGAATATTGACAGGATACAGATAGAATACCATGTACAGTTTT